ATGCTTGTGTCATTCATGCTCTTTTATTTCATGATATATAATGGGGAAAATCATTATTCCTCTAAATGCTCAAGGTCTTGCATGTTTTCTGATTACGAAAAGTTTTCACTTGTGCGTTCCTGAAGCATTTGCATACGCTAAAATTGTTAGTTTTTGGAATCTTTGACACCATTTGGAGCCTTTTCTGTAGAGGTTGCCAAGATATTTCGTGGTACATATTGCCAGAAAAGACCAGTTTCATCAGTGTTATGAATTTGTTCTGGAGATAATTGTTCAGTAGTAATGAGTTCAATTAATTCATCTGCAAATTATTCAGCAGCTTCAGTATCAGCTGAAGCTTTTTCACCTGAAATTCTTAATTGTCTTATACCATGGCGATTTTTAAATTTGGTTCCAAAATGTTCAGTCAGTGTTTTAAGTTTCATTTCTCATGATATTTTGGCTTGAGCCATTACATGGACCCATCATGGCACACCCTCGCTGCTACGCTGTCTGACCCATTCAATCATCACATTGTCATGATCATCACTTTTAGCATAACGAACACTTTTTCTGCTATTCATTGCGAGTGGGGTGTCTGAATCCACAAAAAATTCAAAAGGTCTCTTTTTTTCTTATGTCGTATACAGTTGACTTTCTAATGCCATACTCCTCGCATAATTTTGAGACGGATATGCCTTTATCCATTTTTTGCAGCAATTTCACTTTTTGTTTAATGTACATTGAAACATGCTTTCACTTTGTAGATCCTTTGGCAGCTCCAGAATTGGAAACTCTTTTCGACATAATTGAAAGTTCAAGTTTAATTTTTATAAAATTGCTGTAATAATAACAGTCTGCAAAAAGTAATAAGCTGGATCAAATTAGAAGATTAAGGAGCAGCGTAGTCTGCTACATTAACTGAAATCAAATGCCTTAGAATCAATTAAGATAATTTTAGCCTAGCTTAATAGCATCTGTTATACATTATTGGCTGTGTATCACAAGATTGGCAACGAAAGCCAAATTGTTCTGCTAAATTTTGTCTTGCTCCTATTGCATACTGAATTAAGCCTGAATTGTATTAGTTTGAGGCACTGTGGTTAGCACATTGCTCAGCAGCATCACAGGTCCGGGGTTCGAACCCTGGGCTGGGCAAGGTCAACTCAGCCTTTCATCCCTTGATTTTCATCCCTTGGGTCAATAAAATGAGTACCAAGTTCGCTTGGGGACTAAATACTGGGGGTCTTGTGACCCCAAACTGACCACTTGTTCAGTGCATATGCTTACGCACCCCGGGGCCCACAGTCAAGAAAGCAAATTTTGGGGCACTGCAGGCCTTGGACCATTAGGGCTGTTTGCACCACTGAGTTTAGTTTTAGTTTAGTTATTTACTATATCTACATTTTATTTCTTGCATATGCTTAAAACTAATCTGAGTTCTGAATAAATAAACTCCCACATATACTTAAGGCTTTATCTAGGGCAGTCTCTGTAGGTTCTAAATTAATGTTAAAATGTTAGCAGAAAAGTTTCCCTTACTCTTGTTATTCAATTACTAATTAAAAAAAATTAGACATCACTGCATGAGTTATTACTGAAGCTGTCATGTATTGATAAGCATGTGATGATGAAAACAAAATGTAATAAATAATGACTCGCCAGGTCGCCGTCAGGGATATAAAATGGGTGAATGTCTCGGTTTAAGATGTAATGCCAAGCAGACACTCAGCTACATAGCCAAATTATTAATCTCGCAAAATTTATGCTTACATGATTATTTTTTCATAATGAGATATTTTATTTAGTGCGTAAGTGAAATTAAGAATCAGAATTTTTAAGTGAAAATCTTCATATGTTTTATTATGGAAGGGAAAATCAAACGTGCATGCGTAAAGCATTAAAAAAAAAGTTTGTGGCTTTGAGGTCCGGATTTTAAATTATTTTGGACTTTGTACTGTATATGTCCCATGCATTCATTACATTAATAAAAGAAATTTTATTTACTGTGGCGATTTAAAATTTCTACATAATTCAGAGCAGGAAATGGCAGTTCTTGATAATGTTTTTTTTTTTGTGTTTTTTGCTGACTTGTTCACACTAGCATTACGGCATTTTCTGTGTACCTATAACTATGATCAGCGGTCATTTTGACCACTTGTTCTGAATAGAAGAAAAGGCTTACTGTTTGCTAATATTATGTAGCCAATTTCATTTTCTCAACTAAAATAAACGTAAGATAACAGAGACATGTGAAGCATTATACTGTCATTTTTAAAGAAATATTTCGAAGTTACTACACATCTGTCACATCATATTCTGTCTTTTTGCATATAATTTTTGTTACGTAGTTATACGGTCAGAGAATGTTTTAGCTCAAACAAAATTGGCTATAGATTAGACAGATTGCAATTAGTACTTCTTATTTGAGTTACTTTTAAAATTTTCTTTAAATAATGAAAATAGCTGTAAACTAATCTATATTTTGTGAATATTGTTAATTTGGTGATTGCATTTGAATAAAACAGTTCTTTTTCTTTCTTTTTCAAACATTTTATTAGAGAGCTGAAAGAATTTGATCCAGATGAGCTCATAGAAAGTGGACTGTCTCAGTCATGGACACAAACACTACCTGAGAGTGGAGCAGGTATTCCATACATGACTTATTTTGCTTTTAAATTCTTATTTTATTATCAACCATTATTGACTGAGTTGGCTGCCTTTTGCATTGCATGTTATGCCTCATTATTGCTGCTCTGCAATTGTATTTTTGATTGTCAATGTAGTTCCATAAGGAAATTTATGGTATGATAAACTGTTTTCTGTTTATAAAAATGTGATTGTGACAAAATGGATAGTTTTTCTTTATTTTTAATTGAAAAAATGGATGTTGATCTATAAAATTCCAGATTACAATTAAATTCTGATTTACATTTCAGTTATCTGTCATGTTTGCTTCTTCTTATATACACTGGTGTGCAAAAATTAAGGACGAAGTTGAAAAATTAGCATATCAGCTGAACGAAGAGGCAGAGCGTACAGAAAGACCAATCAGGAGATTAAGTAAGGTGATGTACGTTAGCACATGCACAGATATGCAGGTAGACGTAATGGGGGAGTGTCTGAGTAGTATAAAGCATGTTGTCGGTGTAAGATCAGTATTTCTGGCAAAGAGATTGCACGCCGTATAGCAGTTAAAATCACACCGAGTTGCTGCCTCCTCAGCGAGAAATGGCTAATAATCAATCTGTTACAACACGACATCTGGATGCTTTTTTTACCCGAGGTTTGAATCATTGGGGAACTTGGAGGAAGGCCGCAGTGTGACAAGTGTGGCTGCAGAGTTCGGAATGCTCACAGCATTGCTCACGCAATCGTTTCACAACTTTGGAGACAATTTCAAACTACAGGAACAGCTATCCGGGGGCTTAGTAGTGGTCGTCCACGAGGAACCACACCCGCAGATGACCCGTATATTGCCTTCCAGACCAGAAGAAACAGGTGGCAGACAGCGGGAGAAATCGCTAGACACACGACACAGGCGACTGGACGACCAATATCGCGTTTTACTGTGGCCAGAAGACTGCACGGTGGTGGTCTGTTTGCACGACGCCCTGTACGGTGTGTACCTCTAACGCCTGCCCATTGGAAAAGGCATTCTCTGTGGTGCCGGGAACACCGGAATTGGAGAGACAATGAATGGGGACGAGTACTCTTTACAGATGAGAGCAGATTCAGTCTGAGTAGCGATTCTCATCACATACTCATCTGGAGAGAGCGGGGAAGCCGCAATCATCCCTCGAACATCATTGAAAGGGACAGGTATGGAGGTGGCGGTGTTCTCGTTTGGGGAGGCATCATGCTTGGTAGTCGTACAGACCTTCACATCTTCGACGCAGGTTCAGTCAACGGGACCCGTTATTGTAATGAGATTCTTCTTCCATATGTGCGTCTTTTTAGAGGCGCTATGGGTCCGCAGTTCCTTTTCATGGACGACAATGCACCATGTCATCGCACAGTAGCTGCCGAACAGCTCTTAGAGAGTGAGGATATTTAACGTATGGATTGGCCGGCACGATCTCCGGATCTTAATCCATCGAGCATGTATGGGATTTTTCTAGGCACGCTTGGTAGCTCGTACCTTACCACCAGTAACGATTCCGGAGCTTCGATTGGTGCTGCAAGACGAATGGGCAGCAATGCCTCAACAACTCATTGACAACCCTCATTCTCAGCATGGGCAGATGCTGTGAAACCTGCCTAGCAGTCAGGGGAGATCATATCCCCTATTAAAGACCGGATGTTTCTTGCTGGACACCCATCACAGGGATGTTTCGGCCTTCAGTTGCATTGCGCTCCATGCTACTTTTTCAATAAAGCTTCTTTTTATCCCTCTGATTTCTCTTTTAGTAAGTGTTGCTTACATTACTCATGTCCTTACGTATTGGGGATCTTACGGTATTAAATGTGTTAATTTGGAAAGCTTTTGTACAAAGTTATATTGAAAAAACCGTCTCGTCCTTAATTTTTGCACACCAGTGTATATAGAGGAAAGACTCTTGCACCCAAGATTACCTTTTTGAATCAGATTTTGTTTTAAGAGATATATCATTTTTCTGTAAATGTAGAGAAAGGCTTTTTAATTATAATATACTGCGATTTCTTCATTTAGTATTGTATAAGTTAAAAAAGTTATCGAATGTTTCTCTCGGTGTATGATCATTTTGTGTTTTAACACATATGCCTTTGTTCCTTGAATCATGCATTGAGGTTTGAGCTAAAAATCCATTGCAGCAGAAAAACTCTTTATTAAGAACAGCACAGCATGTATTTGCTAAGCAGACAATCTTATTTGACTTGATATTCCAATTTACAAAATCCAACTTGAACCTTCATAAAAATAAAAGAGATAGATGACCAATGTTAAAAGAGAAAAAAAAAAAAAAAAGTAAAGTATTTCATAGTACCTTCAAATTTCTTGTACTCTCAATTTTCAACATTCTATTTTAAATATAAATGCCACATTAACTAATACGTGTATGACACATACGTGTGAATATAAGTGTATTTATATTTAGTTATCATTTTGCTATACTCTCTTTTGCTGTGTTATTTTCAGTATTTATCAATCCTAAAAATGGTACTATCGGTCATGTAATTTTTTATATTCATAAAATTTCTTGTTTCATATACAATGCTTGCTATTATTATTAGTGAATAAAACATTACCTTTGAGCCATAAAAATAGCCAAAGGTTTTTCACTGATCCACAAAGCCGATTATGAGTTGACAACTTGTCATAGAAAGTACCTTGTGTGTTAATTTAATCACAGCGGATAGCCTAATAAAAGTTGCTGCTTTATAGAAATTAAAGCTGCCAGATGGCAAAGAATATTTAATCGTGTGAAATTAAAAATTTTTCTTTAGCTAAGACATTTCCAATATGATGTAGAACATGTACTTTTCATATCTGAATTTAATCAACATTTAATCTTTAATATTGTATATTAACCTTTCAACATCTTTGTTATTTTTACTTAAAAATCTTTTGGTCAGTAACATTTCTCAGTGTCAGACTATTGTCATTAACCCTTTGGGGCACAGTGTGTCCGGTCTGGACATACCTAAAAATGTCCTTCTGTACGCACAGAAAAACTTAATGAAAAAGGATTTATAGGTTACTCTGAACCTTCTTTTTTTATAGTAGATGGCAGCTCAACACAAACCAGTCCATATATTTTAGCCATGTTTAGTTTTTTAAGTCCCTCATTTTTCAAAGAAATCTTCCAGATTTTTTTTAGGATATAAAAGGAATTGTTTGAAAAGAAGTTTCTATGTTATTATTTTGGCTGTATACTAATCTCCTTATTCTTTATTAGTTTTAAATTTTTATTTTGAAATCTTGCCAAAAATCAAACGGCGAACCCTAGGTGTGCCCAGACCGGGATCACCTATAATCTAGGAAAACTTAGAGTCTTTATTCTTTGTTTCTCTGCATCTCATCGGTCAGTTCATTGATAAAAATGCTCGTTTCAGCACTCTTTTCGAAGCTCTATTCAGTTAGTATGCCCTCTCGGGCACACCCACAGAAATAAACGATAAGTGCTATCTTCAAAAAATTTTACTTGTGTTCTCCTCTAGGCCTAATTAGACTGCCTACTTTTTTTTTTTTTTTTTTTTTTTAATCAAAAATCCGACTTTAAATGGTTGCGTGCCAGAAAGGGTTAAAATCATAACAATGCCAGCCAAAATTTTAATTTGAATATTTTACATTATTGCATTATTCCTTGTGTGATTCAAGAGCATGGCTGTTCTGTTACATAAGTCATCAAAATTATGTATATTGACAGAAAAAAAGCTTAACTCTTATTTGTTAGGAAATAATTAGAAATAGTTTCTGCAACAGCATCATATTCGTGAGCTGATAAATTTCAAAATATTGAATTTAAAATCAAATTCATAGAAATTAAAAACGATCTTACATGTTTCACAGTAAGTATTTCTTTGGTATGAAGCATGGTCACCTGTAACTGAAATACAAGACACGCATTTGATTTCTTAGAATTTACCTATTTGTTGACCAAGACTTGTAGAATTGTTTGCCAATCTTCTTCTAAGTGCACTTTTCAGATCCTGAAGGATCTGGAGAGGCATTTGGCTTACTCAGTTTGGTGGCTGAATTCGTCTAATACATGTTTAATTGGGTTCAAGTCTGGTAAGTAAGCTGACCAATCTGTACAAGTTATATATCCCTCTCCAAGTATTCTAAACCACCCATGAGTTAAAAAAGAAAAGTCTGGTCAATAGCATACAGAACAGCCTTATATGTGGTTACAGGACCTTGTTTACATACCGGGTGGCCATAATTAAACTGACAGTGCTCACAATGTTCTGTAGCACGATATATTTGCGAGAATGACGCCACATTTTGTAGGAAGACTAAACAAGACGGGGAACGAAGGATTCCGCGAAAAAAACAAATTAGTTCCAAAGATCACCGCTAGGGGAATATTTGACGCTGTGTAATAAAAAATAGAGTGTTAACAAATGCAAATCAATATGGAAATTACCTTTTATTTTGCATTCAAATGAGGTTCAATGTGGCTGCTGTTGTTGTTGACCACATATTGCATTCTGTGCACAGTATGCACAACAGCAGAAAGTAACATGTCTGCAGGAATCTCCCGTACAGTCCGTGATATGTTATCCTTCAACGTAGCCAGGTCCTGGACCACTCCTTGATAGACCTTGGACTTGAGGTAACCCCATAGCCAGAAGTCGCATGGGGTAAGATCAGATGACCGAGGTGGCCATGCAGTTGGAAAGTAGCGGCTAATGACTCTCTGTTGTGAATTTTTGTTGTAGCATCTGTTGCACCCGTACAGCAATACCCGTACAGCAACCCGTACAGCATAGCCAGAAATCGCATGGGGTAAGATCAGATGACCGAGGTGGCCATGCAGTTGGAAAGTAGCGGCTAATGACTCTCTGTTGTGAATTTTTGTCGTAGCATCTGTTGCACCCGTACAGCAATGTGTGGAGGGGCTCCATCTTGCATGAAAATGATTTCCCCCAGGCATTGTCTTTGCTGAAGTGCCAGAATGACAAAGCTGTTCAACATGTGGCGATATTTCTCTCCGGTAGCAG